GACAATTAAAAATGGCCAAGATAAAATGGACAGATAGGCAGGGATAAAGTTGTACAGTTTAGGAGTAGAAAAGACACTCATGAAGAAGTAAAATTGCTAGGGATATATTTCATTATAATAGGTATATACACAAGATTTTGCTAATGAGAGGTTTTATTTGTATATTTGTTAAGGACCAGGAAGGAAAGGCATAAAACTTCCAAACAGCTAAACTTTAGCACAACTCTGATATAAGCAGCAAACCAAATAATGAGGTATATTTTAAATGTTATTTTTAAAGATCAGATTAAGTTAAAAATAGATTTAATTAGAAAATGGTCATGGTTTAAATTAAAAAACCAAAAGGTCTTAATAAATTTTAGATAGGAGAAATTTCAAGGCAAATGCATATTTTGAAAGCAGAGAGTTTTGACTTAAATTTAGGAAAGGCATTCAGGCCAATGGCAAGAAAACCTGCCTTAATGCTTTCGGTGACCCTGTGGTAGATTGGAAAGAATATAAACTGGAATCAAGACTTGGGTTCCACTTACCAGCTGTGATACGTTGAGCAAATATTTAAACTGACACTCATTTTCTTCATCTATAGAACATGAAAAATAATGTCTACCTTTCTGGTTTGTGCCAAGGATTAAATTAGATTATGTTTGTAAATACCTGACTCATAGTAGTTATATAAATGTTTGTTTGGAAAGGACAGCAAGTGATAATGAGCTATAGATCAAATTTTTTAATTAAAAAATTTTTTCAGAAGTGTTCAAATTATTTCTTTATAGTGGAATTTCCTCAAATCGAATATTGTTCAAACTGTGCCTAGGGGTTTGTATTTTTATTATGAAGAGATTTTTGTTTCTTCAACACTAATGAACTCTTAGATCCCTTTTAATGAAAACATCCATGACTCCAAATCTGTTGGATCCTAGCTATGTATTGTTCTAATCACTATTTCTCTGTTCTTTTTATTATTTTCAACTTTTACTTCATTGTCAATATATTGGTCTTCTGTTCTCTTTCTGTACGTATTTTGGAGGAAGGGATAGATTTCATTCACAATCATTATTTTTTACTAGATTATTTAAAAGCCAGGTTCTGAAATAAGACTGTCTGGGTTTGTGCTCTAGCTTCACCATTTATGACTTTGGGCAAGTTAATTAACCTCTCTGAATCTTCATTTTTCCATTTGTAAAATGGGTACAATGATAGTTCCGACCTCATAAAGGTATGTTGAGTATTAAGTGAGTGAAAACTTATAAAGCTCTTGGTGTGTTTCTTAGCACCTACTGAATGCCTAGTAAACCTTAGGTTAATATTTTGATGATACAGATGACTTTAAATCTGTATCTTGAACCCTCTTTGCTCTTCTAAACTGAAGTCTTGTATCTCTAACTGCCAGCTAAGCATTTTCTCTTATACCTACCATTCTACATTACCTTAAACACAAATCTGTTGTAAAATCAATCCCTTCATCCTACATGAAGATGATCTTTTTTGTTGTGTGTATGTGATTTAAGGGTATAGGGTAAATAACCAAAGTTTATTTCAGTTATCAAAGCTTAGGAGCACCTTAATAAATATCTCAAAGTTAAAAGTTGTAAATTATGTTCTGAGCAGAACAGTTGCTGCTTCATGCCATACTAACACTTTTTTAAACTTGCAAAACTATCTCATTTGCATGGAAGACTTTAAGTGTACAAAAGGAGAATCGACTATTTGCCTAGCAGGAATTCAGAAACACAGTATCTTTCTTATATCTGTTCTGATCTCTCTGCTCATAGGCTCTCACATGGAATCCCAAGAGGGCAGCTGTTGCTTTATCATATTTTCCAGACCCAATGCCCTTTTTAAAACATTGGTTATCTGTTATATGTTGACACTTGGGCACAAAATTGGCACTCAGTGAGTAGCTCTTAAATAAATTAAACAAGTGCAAGATATAAGATACATGGTCCTTGTTATCAAAGAGTTTATAAATCAGGTAAAGATAATGATACTTGAAACCAATTTTTAAAAAATGTATAAACTCCATTATATAATGACATGCCAGGATAAGAGGAACAAATAAACTTTGTAGACATTCAGTAAGTAAAGAGAAAGGCTTTTGGAGATGAGAGGCTTGAGCTAGACCTGGATGTATGCTGGAAGCTTTCTGGGCTGAACACATGTAAAATAATGCCCCTTTGATACTATAATAGTTCTGCCCCCTCCTTTCCTCTTATTTTCGCTTTAAAAGAGATTAGATCCGACCAGTCTATTATGCAAGCCAGAGAAAGACCATTTCATGTAAAGATGCACTTTTATCGCACTTTCCTCACTATATCATATTATAATTATTTATATCACAGTCTCTGCATTTAAGAGTGTAAAGTCCTTGAGGGGATCGACGTTTTCTGCTTGGCTCTTTATCCCCTAGATACTTTGCATAAATGTTTGTTGGATAAACAAGAGTGTCAGCTCCTAATGAGTGAGAATGTGTCATATTATTCTTTGTTTCCTCATGTGAATTGAAATTAATTGTTTCTTGAGATTGGTCCTAGGAATATTTATGCAGGCTTCACTGATTCTGTTGCTACAGTTCAGCTCACCCTACAACAGGTGCTTGAGTATTCACCTGTCTCAGTCCAGCAAAGTTATAATTTTGCTTACCTGGATTTTGACTATGTCTAATACTGGAGCCCAGGTCTAACATGAGATTGATCTATAGGTAACAGATAAGAAGTGAAAATGTGCACAAATTCCTTTGTCTGAGTAATGTTCATATGACTTCTGTTGCTCCCAAAAGTCAGCAACTTGGCCCTTAACACACCTCTTTCTAGAGCACAAATAGGAGCTCATTGTAGAGGATCTTTGCCACTCTGATTCTCCAGGCTTTCCTAATGTCTTCAAAGAATTTACTTTCTCCATTAACCATTCGTTAATAGAAAAAGTGGCTGGTGTAGTATCTGGCGATAAATTGCCACATCCCATTTCCTTCTCTATGAGCAGGATTTCCAATTTCCAAGCCTGATGGGATCTCCCAGCTGGAACAAGATCTACTGGTCTTTGATCTGGAAACTAAGAATAGAGAAGTCTTAAGAGATGACTGCTCAGGTGAGTAAGGCAGAATCAATCAGATGGAATTAGTAGGGAAATAAAGTCCAGTAGTTGAGCCAAGTTGTAACTACTTTGGCAATCTGAATGAAGAGCTCTGTCTGTATCACAGAATGGAGAGCTCCTTCTGTCCCTTTAGTTTTGATGAACTTTTTGCATTTATTTTGTCCCTTGTCATCTACAAGTTGTACTAGGTCCCTGTTTAAGTTGCTTATCTTTAATTCTTTTGAACTATTTTTCCTATTAACTCCTTTGAAACACCTTAATTGGTTATCTTCTTACTCTGATGAAAGTCCCTTTTGTTTCTGCCACACCCTGACCCGTTTGGATCCTACCTCACTGCTCCTATTCACGCTCTTTTATCTGCTGTTGAGATTTTGTGCCTGTGTTTCAGAGTAAATAAATTTCTCTTATCCTGGTAGAGACTAGATTATTTAGCTTTTTCCTCTCTGAGTTTTCTTTTTCTAAGCACAGGGTACAGATTACATTTGCATTTTCTATTTATATATTGAATCAGATGGAGAAACCAGAGAAGAGAACAAGCTGTTGATTCCTAAACAGAAAATTTCAGAAGAAGTACATTCATACAAAGTGAGAGTAGGAAGACTCAAAAAGGATATTGCTCAAGTTCCTGAAACTAGAGAAGTGTATAAACCTGAGGACAGATTAGAAAGGCTTCAGGAAATCCTAAGGAAATTTCTCTTCCTGGAGAGAGAGTTTAGGCAAATAACAATCAGCAAGAAAACCTTTACCAGTGAGAAGAACAATGAATGTAATGAACCTGAAAAAAGCTTCGGTCTGGAATCTACACTTGATACAGATCAGAAAGATCTTAGAATACAGAACATTGATGACATTGATAAGTATAACATGAGCTTCAACCAGAATTCAGCTGCTGATAAACATGAACAAATAAATCTAACACAGGATTTTCAGAGTAGTGACTATAAAGAAAGCTTGATGGATCTCTCCCACCTTAGTAAATGTGAAAGCATTCCTACCACTGACAAGTCCTATAAATGTGATGCATGTGACAAAATCTTCCATCAGAGCTCAGCCCTTTCTAGACATCAAAGAATTCATACCAGAGAGAAACCCTACAAATGTAAAGAATGTGAAAAATCTTTCAGTCAGAGCTCAAGTCTTAGTCGACATAAAAGAATACATACTAGAGAAAAACCCTATAAATGTGAAGTGTCTGATAAGTCCTGTGAGTCATCTGATAAATCCTCTGGTCAGAGCTCAGGCATAATTCAGCATAAGAAGATTCACACTAGAGCAAAATCTTATAAATGTAGCAGTTGTGAAAGAGTCTTCAGTCGTAGTGTACACCTTACTCAACATCAGAGAATTCACAGAGAGATGCCCTGTAAGTGTACTGTATGTGGCAGTGACTTCTATCATACCTCATACCTAGTCGAACATCAGAAGGTTCACTGTGAAGAGAAAGCCTATGAATACAATGAATGTGGGTTGACCTTTACTAAACATCAAGGAAGTCGTCTCAGAGAAAAGCCCTATACATGTAATGAATGTGGGAAAGACTTCAGATTGAATTCCCATCTTATTCAGCATCAAAGAATTCACACAGGAGAAAAACCACATGAATGTAATGAATGTGGAAAAGCTTTCAGTCAAACATCATGCCTTATTCAGCATCATAAAATTCATAGGAAAGAGAAATCCTCTGAGTGTAATGATTATGAAGAAAATTTTAATCATAGCTCAGATCTTGTCCTACAACGAGAAGTCCTCACCAGAGAAAAAGCCTTTGATTGTGATGCATGGGAAAAGAACCTCAGTCAGAGAGCACACCTTGTTCAGCATCAAAGAATTCATACCAAAGAGAAACCGTATGAATGTAATGAACATGGGAAGACATTTAGTCAAGTTGAGGCCTCATTCAACATCTGAGAGTTCGCCCCAGGGAGAAATCATGTATGTACTGAATATGGTAAAACCTTCAGTTATAGTTCAACCTTTATTCAGTTTCGGAGAGTTCACACCAGTGAGAAACCCTCTGAATGTGACAAATGTTGGAAAGCTGTTAGTATTAAACTCAGTCGATGCCTGCAAACCCATACCAATGAAAAAAACCTATGAATATATTGAATGTGGTAAATGCTTCATGCTATGTTCATACCTTAGTCACCATTGGAGAATTCATACAGGAATACAATTCCATCACAGTAATGAATGTGAAAAAAGCCTTCAGTCAAAGACACTACCTTGTTCAGCATCAAATTCATTCCATGCAGAAAGCCTATGAATGTAATCAATGTGTTGGGGCCGGGGGTGGGGGTGGGGGGAGAGATTCAGTCATATTTCAATCCTCATTCAACATCAAAGAACCCATACCCTGGAGAAGTCATTTGAGTATAGGAGTTCAAGTCTTTTTCATCACCAGAATACCTGCACCAGACCAGAATATGATATGCAAATGGAAACATTTACTGCCATATTTCAGGCTTTACTCAACATCAAAATGTTGGAGAGAAAACTGTTGATTGTATATGAAATCATTACTATATAGTCCCAGTCTTTTTCATTACAGAAGAATCTAGTCTGAGGAGTGACTTGGTGAATTCAATGTTGTTTTCTTATGGCATTCTTTTATTTAATATAATAGGTGTTGTAAGTAACTGTGTACTTTATGGAATTCATTTAAGCTATTTTTATTTTAATATGGCCTGTAACCATTTTATTTCCTGAAATTGGTACTTATTATTCACAGCTTCCCTAAGATATTACACCAATGTTAAAACATCAGCATCTGGAATGTAGCTCATTTAGCTTTTCCCGATGTTCTCAGCCCAAATTCTCTCCAAAAAAGACTGTTAGGCCTGCTCTTTTTTGAGGACCCTATTTACTCATTTCCAGCCACAACACTTGAATTCCTATTGATTTCTCCATTCTCTTAAGCGCCTTGGAATGGTGGTTTCCTGGTTTTAAGCTTTTCACCAGCAGGTATGCCTTCCCTACTTGATGTTGCTATTCTGGTGTCTTCTTTCCTAAAGTGAAGCAACTTCCTTTAAAAGAATTGGATTTCTACATCCTGTCCATCCATCCATGAGTATGAAGAATTCTGTCTCCCCTGAGTTTATGGCACGCAGCTAAACATTTTCAAGCGATGCCCAGGTTCTTAGCTGCCTTATCTGCATCCACAGCCCTCTGAAAGATGATAAGGACATCAGGGAGCCAACAAGATTATGATGGTCTAGCTACATTCAGCACGTGTTCTGTATGTCTGAGTTCAGAATTACTTTATATACTTCCACTGAAGACCAGCAACACAATGCTTAGGTCTGCTTTTGATAGAGCAAAGCGTAAAGAACATAAACTAAAAAAATCAAAGAGCTTCATAAGGCAGAGAGCTCAGCCTTCCAACAAAAATATTGCTGTTCTTATGTAATATTTCTAGAGAGAGTATTTTAAGAGAGTGGCAGGTCTGTTCCTGGTAAAATTTTAACTGTTACGATTGCTTCTTTATCTGTTTTGATTTCTGCCCCCAGTCTTCCCTCATCAATCCAGGACAGTATTTGAAGTGTGAGGGCTTTATGTGTAATTATCATTACCACACTTGTATTTTACTAGAGTCTACAGGCCATATAAAAGAACATGGTTTTCTTAATGATAAAAATGATCACAGATGTTGGCTCCAGAGTTCATCATTAACACCTAGCAAGTTAGTGATTCTTTAGATTATATCAAAGCATTTCATTATATTTTTCCGTCTTAAGCTTCATAACATTTTGTGAATAAGACAAATATTTAAAATTCTAGTTGTCATTCCAGCAATTGAGGCCTTCATAGTTCAGATGCTATACTATTCACGAGGGATCCTCAACAAATAAATAAAAATGTATTGCTCTCTTTATAAGCATCCTATGGCTAACCTCTAGGATAGTTCTACCACTATATTTTACCTCTTAGCCATCAGCAAGCATAGGATCCCATCAGGGCAAGGTAGGGATCTAAACAAATCGATCGAAATGTAAAAGCAAATGAAATGCATGTTTTTTTCCTGTTAATGAATGTGTATACTCTTCTGTGTAAAGACTAATAGTCACCTCTGGCTATCATGAAACAGAACTAAGTAATCCCTAAATAGTAGAATATGTAAAAATCACATGTATGCATTTGGTTTAGGAAAGTGCTTTTGTACCTCCACTTGAATAAAGATGTGTTTGATACTCAGAGAATCTGTTTCAAATAAAATCTGAAGGCCTTAGCCAGAAGCATTTGGGAATTTTGAAATCACCTTCCTGGCTGCACCTCAGTTCCTTCTGAAAACCTGCTTCACAACAAGAGTGGATCACTCTCCTGTGTACTGGTACTCTCTCTTCCACAGACCTCTGGAGGAGCAATGTCTGAATGTCTAGGATTTAAAGGGTTATTTGGGATGCTGTCAGTACATAAAATTAGAGTAAATCATTTGAGGTTTCAGTAGAACTAGGCAGAATGTGTTTTTCTTAATAAATACATTTTAAAAAATGAGAAAAATCCTCGAGGGCAAGTAACTTGCCACGTTAAGCTTGCTGATATTTCATCGGTCCAATATAATGAGTTTGTGTTCTTAGTCTTTTTAGTCTTGGAGATTAGAAAGGGAAGAGAAGAAATCTAATAGGTGAGGGACATCTAATTTTATCTATCTGTTCTCCACTCACCAAATGTACATGTATGTACATATTCAAACTTAATCCTCATAGCAATTCTGCAAGGGAACTAGCTCTGTTTTACAGAGGAACTTGAGGCATAGAGAGGTTAAAGAACTTGGTAGGGTCACACAGCAAGTTTAAAGTCAGGTCTGTTTGGCTCCAAAGCTTTCCATCATCATGAAGTTGGTATTAGACACTAACCAGAGAAATTTTCTGTGATGGCTCTTCATTCCCTGTTAAAACCCAGTGATTCACTATTACCCGTTTGCAGCTGATCGTAAATGCTCCCAGAGCTCTCTGGGTTACTAGGGGAAAATATCCCAGTATCTTGTGGGAGCTAGTCAGAGACCCCGGCCCCCTCCTTGAAACAAGCTTAGACAATTTTGACAATGACAGGCTACGGGTCAAAGCTCCCAAATTCCTATTTCCTGCCAAGACACCCCCAAATCCCATCACTAGGTTTACATTTCCATTTTTCAATGCCCAAATGTATTCATTTTTTTCTGCTAACTAGAACTTACTGATGACATGTATCTTTACCAAGATTTACTATCACCTCTGGTTCTATATAAAGTAGTGGAGCAAACCAGGTAATGGGAAAATCAAGTTTGATTCCTAGGTTTTGGCTTGAGCAAAGGAGTGGATAGAGATAGACTGGAGAGATGGAGTATGCTGGAGGAGGAGCAGGGAGAGAATTTCAGGCAAGAAAGCATGTCAGAGGCCTATAGATGAAAGAGTATGGGATTTTCAGGTAATGAGCTCTGGAGAAATGCCTCACCCTAGGAAATAGCTCATGGGTAACTGAGGAAGTTTTAAGAATGATGTTCAGAGGAGTCCCATAGGATGTCATCTCAGCAAAGCATACTGGGCTTCCCACATCTAAAAATGGAACCATCTATCCATTCAGTAATACAGTTGCCAGATGCTATGATATTCAGTGCTGGTCAATGGATACAGTTAAATGAATTAAACCATCCTTTGAAGATGAACAAATTAGTTGTCAAAGCAATGGCTTTGGAATTAGACATAACTGTGTTTACTAGCTGTGTGTCTGGAAATTTTACTTAGCCTCCCTAGTTTTCTATATAATAATAACAGCATGAAAATTAATGTAAAATGTATTGTGCCAAAGTTATTAATATAAACACTAATATAAAAACCAGTAAAAATAGAGGGGAGATGTTTAGATAGAAGGGAGATAAAATTTTAAAAAGGGAATTAATGAGCAAGCATTTAGCAGTGCAGTATTGCCAAGCATTGCCCAGGGAGGGATACCCTGGGTTGGAGAACTTAAATATCACTAGAGAAATCATCAGACATTCTGTGCTGATAGGAACTGCCTCCCTATAGGCACTCCCTGCTGGAGTCAGCAAACTGACATCTGTCTCTTCTAACATTTGTATTATATGACATATTTTCAAAATATGAGTGTATTAAGGAACCAATGTTTAATCCAAGACTGTTAAGAGTGATTTCAATCAAATCAGATGGTGCCTGTACAAATCACAATAAATGCTGGAATTTTTTATTTTGCTGATGCATCCTATTCACTCTCTCCACTTTTAGAAAATGATTAACCTTTTATATTTTTATTTCATTCATGTTGATAAATTTACAATTTGGGTATAATTACAGACGTCTATATTTTTTCTTTTCTGCAGTTGCTCATATTATAATACAAATGTCCACCCTGTCTTCATTGTCCTTCCAGGGTGCAGATAACACCAGGCTCTGGTTTGAACCGGCCAGGGTTCGAATGCTGCCTCTAGTTGCTTACTACCTCTGCAGCATCTGGAATGTAAGATAGTAAATGTGCCAACGTTTTACAACGTCATGGGATTGTTGTGAGGATTAATGAGAGAGTGTCAGTTTAAGTGCTCCACAACTGGTAGCTGTTATTTCTGAGTTTAGCAGGAAACTACGCTTAGCATAAACAACTCATTTCCTTAACCTTTTTTTCTTGCTTCAACATATCAAAAGTGCCTCTGGCAAATCTGTACTCCAGGCGCAGAAGGGTCTTTGGATCTTGACCTCTTTAAAGGCTTGTCTTTCTCATATTGGTATATCAGTATGTTCCTCCCACAAAATTGGGAGGGGCTGGGTTGAAGCGACAAAGGGAGAGGAGGACTGGGTGGAATTCGGGCCTAGATAACGAATTCGGGCCCAGTGGGGTCAACCTGGCCTGTAATTATGAAGAAGGGAGGTGACATAAGTGGTAACACAGGGCAGGAGTTGAGCGGAGGAGGCAAATGGGGTGCACACGGGACAGAGAGGATGAGAAACAAACCAATTTAGATCCTCGGCCCATTTAGGCAATGAAGGGCAAATAGAGAAATCTGTTCCATCCTCCTACAATCCTTCCTGGGGGAAGGACAAACACCGAAGGAGGACCCCATCCTCACGCCGCTGTGGACTCAGTTCCCCAGCAGTCCGTAGAGAACCCGCCATCGAGATTAGACCTCCGAGCTGCCTAGATAGGACCCGGAAGTGCATGCCGAAGAACCCGAGTTTCCAGGCCTCCCATTGTAGGCGGAGATCGACAACACTAGCGCACGGGTCGGGTAGGGCCAGTGAGTGTCGGAGCTCAGTGATCCCGGGCCCGGGGAGGACAGTGGGGAAGACCGCGCTGTCGCAGTGGCAAGCTCGGGCTGCGGGGGGACGCCCATGGGATTGGTGTGGGGCCACAGGTACCTGCTTGGTCCCGACCGGGGCGCGGCGCCTGGGGCCTCTGGGTGCCGCAGGCATAGCGGTCTTCACGCGGCGGGGCCCAGACGGCCTGGAGAGAGAATGAAGCTTCTCAGACCTAGGTTGAGTCTCTGGGGAAAGTTTCACCTACCGTTTTCCCTATATTTTTCCCCTTCTCCCACCCTTTCCTGAACTGACTGCTCGTCCCTTGTGCCCAGTTCTGAAGAAGTTTTAGAGAAGATCTTGGCTTTGGAGCAGCACCAGCTATTGGACCCAGTCCATGGAGAAGCTGCCTGAGTAGATGTCTCCAGAGTCCCTGTTTCCATCCCCTGAGCAGGAACCTCGAAAGAGCAAGGGTGAGGAGCTGACCTAACTGGCTTTCATTGTCTAAACTTTGTCCTTCTAACGGGGGCCTCAGATCAGATGGACACGATTTACCTTAGAAGTGTCCTGGTGCAAGATTACTGATGATGATGATGATGATGATGATGATGATGATGATTACCTAAAGCTCTATTGCATGTAAATAAAGCCTATAACTAATGTTTCCTCACTGACTGTGTGGAGCAAACCTGCAGGAGCATTATCTTAGCACTGAGTCTTGAGTTGTCATTCCAGCACCTGCCAACTTGCTTGACATTTGGAGAAGCTCAGTGAATGTCCTTTGAATAAATAAATGAATGAACCCAGCAAAGTATGTCCCATACTCCCAAGTACCAGGAAGAATGGACTCCTCCCTTTACTCTACCCAAGCTCCCTTTCATCATTAGGGAAAATACGTTTTCCACCCAGGATATGAACTGCAAGAGGAGGGTGCCTTGCCAGTGGAGTACAGGAGACAAGCTAGCCACCTGCGGATGGAAAATGAAGTTAAACTATAAATATCCACATTTTTATTTCAATCTGCCATTTCCCCATTATCTGGTATATGTCCATTTAAAAAAAAGTGAACTTGGATTGTTTAATTAGGGCACAAAGGCTTAGATAATCCACGTTGGGACTTTGAGATGGCTTATGTTTGGGGAGATTTTCTTTCACATATTTAGCCTTTTAATGAGGTTTTCAGGATAATTTTAAATAAGTATTTACTGAGTTATTATTATGAGGTGTTGAAACTAAGTTGAAAGAAAACCTAACTCCTATCCACCCACGAGCTTAGAGTTGAGTTGGAATAGTTAACTATGGGAAGCTATGGGACAATAAACAATGTAGATGTTCACAAGAGGAGATCCCTGTGAACTGGGATTAGCCCAGGAAGCCTTAGAAAATCATGAGTTTGGCCTGGGAAGAATTTAGAGTAAGAAAGGAGTCAGGTTTTAGATGAAAGAGGATAGGACAGGCCCTCACCACAGATTCCTTGCTACTAGTCTTTATAAGAGGCCAAGTGCTCGTATTCGCCTTCCTAAAATACTCGTTCATGTTAGTTCATAGTGCTCACTGGATTCAGTCCATACTTTATAACCTAGCATTCAGGATCCTCTTTGAAGTCTTACCTCAGTGCTCTCCAAGACAAACCCAGCAAGAGTGGTTTGTCTGTACAAGGTAGTACAGAAGACACATACATTGCTGCTTCCTACATTCTCTGCTTATCCAAACCCCGCACAACTCAAGATCCCATGCTTGAAGACCCAGTGCAGGACAGCCTCTTCCATGAAGCTTCTGAAACAGCTCAGGGCTTTGAAGAAGAAAACAAACAGATGCAAGAGACATTTACATGGAAACCTGCAGTACTTGGTGACCGAGCAGTAGAGGGAAGCTGGGTACAATTGCCTTTGTTCCATTCACTATCATTCCTCTAAAAAAAATCTTCACCAGTTGCTAATATCTTTGTCATTGCCATTCAATTCTCAATGCAGGGTACTGCTTCTGTGCCATCAAAACTGGTTATATCCAAGCTGCCAGTGGCTTACCTAATGAATCCACTTGACACATTTTTTTTAGCCCCCATTTTTTTTTTTTTTGAAGATTTTATTGGGGAATTGGAGGGAACAGCGTTGGGGAATCAGGGAAGGGGAACAGACAAGTTGCTGTCCTTTTATTCTTCAGTCTAGTTGTGGAGGATGTTGCTTCACTGGCCCATGTTGGTATTGTGATCATTGTGCTCTTCCTGGCTGAGGCAGATTGGTCATTGGCCATTGGATGGCCGCTCACAGCAGCTCACGACAGCTCATGCCGGCTGCCGGCCACTAATGGTAGCTTACGGCAGCCTACTGCAGCCTACGCCATTGCTGGCGACTCACACGGCAGCCCAGCTCCAGGTTGAGTTGTTGTTCACCTTCTTAGCTGTAGAGGGCGCAGCATTACTGGCCCATGTGGGATCTGAACCAGCGGTCCTGCTGCTCAGAGCTCATGCTCCCAAGCCAACTCTTAACCAATGAGCCACTCGGCCAGCCCAGCCCTAATTTTTTTGACCCCTTAGTATTTTTTGTTGATGTGATCACTCTTCCTTGTAACTCTTGTTCTTTGGTTTTAGAAGCACCATATTCTTGTCTGCCTCTTGACTTCTCAAGGCCTTTCCCACTCCTGTTTCTCCACCTGTTCCTTAAACGTTGATTTCCCCCAAGACTGTTCTCAGCCCTCTCCTCTTTTCCATCCTGTGGATGATCCTATCCCCTTCCATGACTAGTTACCACTATATGCTGCTCTTGCTTCCAGCTGACTCCTGAATACTCGATGTTCACAGTATGCTTCTGAGCTCATGCTTTTCTGCCGTCCCCTACCTCCCTACTTCCAACGACTCCCTTGGTTAATTTTAGTAACCAAGGCCTACCAATGAAAGAATATGGCATTTTCAGGTAATGAGCTCTGGAAAAATGCCTCATCCTAGGAAATAGCACATGGGTAACTGAGTAAGTTTAAGAATGAAGTTCAAAGGAGGCCTAGGAGGTGTCATCTCAGCAAAGCATACTGCGTTTCCCACATCTAAAAATGTAACCTCATGTATCCATCCATTCATGAATACAGTTGCCAGGCACTGTGATATTTGGTGCTAGCCAATGGATACAATTAACCTAATCAAATGAGCACTTCTGAGCTCATGCTTTTGCGCCATGAACCTCCCTACCTTCCAATGACTACCTTGGTTAATTTCCTAAACCAGAAAACTTGGAGTCATTCTCTACTATTATCCATCCCTCCAAATTCAGTCACCAAATCCTATCAATTTTTCTTCAGAAAGACCTGATTCTGTTGCCTGTCACTGCCACTTCCTCATTTTAGGCCCATTATATCTTTTCTGGGTTATTGACATATCCCTATGCTTTGGTCATTTCCCCCACTCTAGGCTCGCCTCCATACTGCTGCCAGAATAAACTTCCCTGGAAACAAGTCTGATCATATTATTCTCAGCCTATACCATAAAGTCTAAAATCCTGAGTGTGGCTTATATGTCTCTTTATTATCTGGCTGTATTCTATTTTTCTGCCGTGTCTCCTGCTTCCTGCCCACATGGAGCATACATTTCGGTCATGTTGAAATTTTTCTGAATACACCTTAAATTGAGTATTCCCTTTTAGGTTTCTGAGTCTCAGCATATACTATTATTTTTTCCTGGAATACGCTTTACCTTGTTGATCCTGGTCATATTTCAAGACCCAGCTCACTGTCATTCTTTGAGGATGCCATTCCCAACTCACCTTGGTAGGTTTTTGTCATTCTTAATTTTGTGCTTTGAAGCACTTTGGTCATATATATCCATTTTAATACCTCTACCAGTATCTTGCACATTAGTAGGTGGTAAATATGTTTGTTGATTGGTGAAACCAAACAGGAAGTATATTAGTTTCTTAGGGCTGCTGTAACAAATCACCACAGCCATATGACTTAAAACAACTGAACTGTACTCTGTCACAGTTCTGGAGGCAAGAAGTCCATGTGGGCCAAATGCCCTCTGAGGGCTCTAGGAAAGAATCCTTCCTTGACTGTGCTTAGCTTCTGGTGGCTCCCAGCAATCCTTGGTGCTCCTTAGCTGGTAGCCGCATCATTCCAATCTCTCTCTAGGCCTTCTTCCCTGTGTATTTCTGTGTCTGACTCCTTTATCTTATAAAGATGCCAGTCATAGGATTTAGGACCCACCCATATCCATTATGACCTCATCTTAACTAATTGCTTTTGCAAAGACCCTGTTTCCAAATAAAGCTATATTCTGAGGTTCCAGTGGACATGAAGTTTTCTTGGGTGTGTGTGTTGGGGGTGGGGTGGAGGGGTGCAGAATACGACACTATTTAACCCAATACAGGAAGCACTGCTCATTTCTTTTGCTGTTAGAAGTAAATGTACTTGGGATCACATAGCTTTGTAGTTAAACTACTTGAACTGCAGAGATTTGCCCCTGCCTTTAAATTAGAAGCAGATCAGTCGAAAACCTTTTTTTTTTTTAAACCCTTGGCTACAAAGACACATTTTATTTGCCTGTTATTTCAGGAGGCGGCTGCTCTTTTCTTGGGCTTCTCTAGCTCTGTCTCAGACTGGCCCTTCTCTATCTGCCCTGGCATTCCAGGGGGTCCTGCCATGAAGGGGTATACCTCTCTAAATTCTATTTGTATCTTAGTCCAGAAGAGTTTTTAGAAATGGTCTATTTTGAACCCTTAGTGATTTATAGATTCTTCTCTTTTTTTTTTTTTTTTAAAATTTTTTTTTGGGAATTGGGGGATGGGAACAGTGCTGGGGAATTGGGGGAAGGGGGAACAGACAAGTTGTTGTCCTTTTGTTCTTCAGCCTAGTTGTGGAGGACATTGCTTCACTGGCCCAAGTTGGCACCATCATTGCGCTCTTCCTGGGCGAGGCAGATCAGTCGCCAGCTTCTGGACAGCTGCTCACTGCAGCTGCTGGCCGCTGCAGCTGCTGGCCGCTCACTGCGGCTGCTGGTTGCTCACGCTGGCTGCTGGCTACACACGGTAGCCCATGGCAACCCACTGCCACAGGGGCTGCAGCCTACGCCATCGCCTGTGACTCAAGGCAGCCCAGCTCCAGGTTGAGCTGTTGTTCAGCATCTTAGCTGTAGAGGGCAGTGTCACTGGCCCTCATATGTGGGATCCAAACTGCGGTCCTCTGGCGTCCCAAGCCAGCTCTTAACGACCGTGCCACTCGGCCGGCCCTATAGATTCTTCTCTTGATGGCGAAGAACTTCCTTTTAATGGATTGCTGGGAAATAATCAGGAGCACTTTTAAGCACCTAATGTGTGCAGAGTTCTTTACATAGTCCTGGGGTTGGAGAAAAAGAAATGGAAGACATGTATTACTCTAGAGATCCTTTCAGTATAAGTTGAAGGGAACACACACAAAAGTATTTCTCAGGAGAGGCCCAAAGACAATGTGGTTAATTAAATGCCATGAGGGAGGCAGGAACTGTATGCTTTAGATTCAAAGAAAATAAACCACTTCCAGCTGGGAGCTGGAGCCCGGTTAAATTTCACACACAAAAAAAGTCTGCCTTTGTGCTGGGTCGTGAAAAAGGAATAGGATTTTGATAGGTGAAGTTGGAAGGAGGCTGTTCCAGGTTGGGGGAGAAGGTTGAGCAGAAAAAGAAATGCGTGGATAGAAGTGTTCAGGACACGTTAGTTGAGATTGACTGGAGCATAAAGATGTGATAGGGGATGACATTGTAAAGGTCAAGTGGAGTAAGATTGTGGAAAATGAATGCCAGGCCAAAGAGTTCAGATTTTGTTTTGCAGAGATACTGAGGTATGTTAGTTTTTCTTAACAGGAGGATAGCAGCTGAGTGTTGTGTATCAAGAAGGAGAATCTGATTTGTTTAGGGAGCTGGGAAGTGCTTAGGGTCTGACTTTATGACATTAATAGTGATAACAGGAAGGCAGGGACAAAATCAAGAAGTATATTGTAAGTAGAAGCAATAGTACTTGTTTACTGAGTCGATGTGGAGCAGAGAAGGGAGTCCCCTCCCCTTTTCTATTTTGAAAAATGTTAAAGTTGCAGGAGAGCTGCAAGAATGTTATACCAAATAGTCATACGCCAGGAGGAGCAGTTTTGGGACTGGTACGAGAGCCACATGGAAATGTCTTTTTAGCTTATTGGTAATGCGATAGCTGATTTACAAATATCCCCCATGTCAGTAGATGGGAACACCACCCCTCCAGCTACTCAACCCAGAGAGAACCTTTGTTTCTCTCATATCTATATCTGTTACTCAATAATCCTGTCGTTGTGACCATCAACATTTTCCCCAGAATCCAAGTACTTCTTACTAGCTTCTCTGCCGCTATATTGGTCCAAGTCGTCATCATCTCTCATCTGGGTTGTTGCAATAGCCCCCTGACTGGTTGTCCTGCCTCTACTGTTGCCTCCCTACAGCCTCTGCCCAGCATAGTAGCCAGAATGATCCTGTTGAAATGTCATCTCGTCTTCCTCTGGTCAGAACCCTCCAGTGACTTCTGTTCTTCCTCAGTGAATGCAAACCTCTTACAGTAGTCTACTGGGTCCTATGCTCTCTGATCCCTTTTTTATGTCTCTGACCTCATTTCTTAGTACTTTCCCCCTTGCTCTTTCTGCTCCAGTCACACTTGCCTCCTCGAACACCCAGGACCTTTGCACTTGCTATTTCTTCTATGTGTAATGCTCTTTCCCAGATAACCCTTATCTAGTTCAAGCCTTTGCTTAAATGTCATTTTTTTAGTCCTTCTTTGACCACGGTATGTATGTATGTATTTATTTATTTAATTTTTTTAAGCTGAGCCATCCTGCCACCTGTTGGCAGCTCAGCGACTGCTCAGCTCGGGCTGGGCATCGAACTGCTGTTGCTCAGAGCTCAAACTCTCGAGCAAGCTCTTAACCAACTGAGCCACTCAGCCGGCCCCTTGACCATGGTATTTAAAATTGCAATCCTTCTGCCCACTCACTCTCCTGGCACTCTAACCCTTGTTACTTGCTTTTTTCCTCTTTATTACTTTTATCACCTTCTAATAGTATATAATTAACATTGCTTATTATCCATCTCCCTTGCTAAAATGAAAGATCTTAGAGGGCAGGATTTTTGTCTGTTTTGCTCTCTGATGTATCTCAGAGCCTGGAACTGTATCTGGCATGTTGTTGGTGCTCAGTAAAATATACTGAATGAATGTGAATGAGGGAAGTGTCATATGACTTGTAAAGATGAGTATTTCTAGGAGAAGGGTCACCTTCAGCTTCATGGAGAAGGTGATACTGAACAGGGCCTGAAAGCAGTAAGAGTTACATTCTTGACTATGTCTGGCAGGCTGTCAAATTTCTGGCAGTGGGCCAAATAAAAGACACATCCTTTAGGAGTCTAAGCCTTTATATGTTATGGTAGAGAATGAATAGAGTGGTTCAACAAACAGTAGAAGAGGCTTTGTGTAGGAGAGAAGATTAGAATGGGACTGGAAGGCAGGTAGGGCCCAGGTCAGGGAGCCATAGAAGAAGCTTTCATTTTAATATTTGCCTAAGCCAAGTACAGAAGGCAGTTATTATGAAATATGTCAAGTCCAGGTGGAGGCATGCCCCAGTTATTGCTTTTTCACTTGTTGATGAGCTGATGGAAACTCTTTGTTATCTTCTCTTTCTTGTGTTTCATCTTATTTAATGAATCCAGTTCTGAAGGGCTTCTAAGTTTAGATGTCCCAATCCTGTGGGACAGATTTGGCAGATTTAGAAAGCTCTAGAGTTATGCTGTCCAGTAGGTAGCCACTAGCCACAAGTGGCTAACTAAACTTAAAGTAATTAAAATTAAATAAAACAGGTCAGCTCCTCAGTTGTGCTAGCCACGTTTCAAGTGCTCACTAGCCACTGTTGGGTACTGTATTGGACAGCACAGATGTGGAATGTTTCCATAACCACAGAAAGTTCTGTTGGATTGTGCTGCTGAAGCCATCAGTGAAAGCCATGAGTGCTTATGGTACCTTGCTAAAAAATTGACCTTCCTAGCTAGTATTTAGACCTGATTGATGTCTTTATCAGTCTTTAAGTACCTAATTTGTTAGACCAGTCCCTGCTGTCCAGGAGCTTGCAATTTGTCTGACATGTAAGGTAAACACAGGTGCAAAGATATGGAAAAACATTAAACCAGTAATTCACTCACACCTATTAGAATGGATGTCATCTAAAAGTCAAGAGATAACAAGTGTTGGTAAGGATGTGGAGAAAGGGGAACCCTTGGGCACTGTTAGTGGTAAATTGGTATAGTCATTATGGAAAATGGTATGGAAGTTCCTCAAAAAATAAAAAATAGAACTACCAATATGATCCAGCAGTTCCACTCCTGGGTATCTGAAGGAAATAAAATCATTATTTAAAAAAGATATCTAGACCCCCATGTTTATTGCAATATTATTTATAATAGCCAAGACATGGAAATAACCTACATGCCCATCAACGGATGAATGGATAAAGAAAATGTGATATATGTATATAATGGAATATTACTCAGCCATAAAAAAGAGGAAATCCTGTCATTTGTGACAACATGGATGGACCTTGAGGTTATTATACTAAGTGAAATAAGACAGAGAAAGACAAATACTGTATGTATCTTACTTATGAGGTGTGATAAGAAAAATAGGGTGAATGTTTACACACAAAAAATGTAGTATAGTAAAAAACACATTGCCATTAATCCCCTCAAAATACTCCCCCTTGCTTCGAACACACTTATCCCATCATTCTTGCCACTTTCTCAGGCAGCTCTGGAAATTCTCTTTCGTGAGTGTCTTTAGTTGCACTGTCGTGGCTGCCTCAATGTCCTGAATCAATTCAAAACGTTTACCTTTCATGGTCATTTTGACTTGGGAACGAACCAAAAGATGCACGGTGCTAGATCTGGTGAATAAGGTGGATGAGGACACACTGTATAGTTTTTATTTGACAGAAAATGCTATACCAGAAGTGATATGTGACATGGAGCCTTTCCATTGTGATCAGATAATATGGTGAATGCTGCTGCCGAGTGCCATCCAATGGAGAGGCAGGGATCTTCAATATGGGAAGTGGTGCATCAAACCTTAGTAACAGTGTGTGACAAGTTTCAACTTGTTCGGTGCAGTCAGTCGGGTGTGAGTGGAAAGAAGGTATATTTTTAAGTGTGCCATAAATCATCCTCTATCATGACAAGGCTCCATGTCACACATTGCTTCTGGTATATGGCTACTTCTGTCAAATAAAAATATTATGGTGTGCCCTCATCCACCTTATTCACTGGATCTGGCACCGTGCGACTTCTGGCTCTTCCCCAAAGCCAAAATGATTCAGGACATCGAGGCAGCCACTACAGCACAACTAAAGACACTCACGAAAGAGGACTTCCAGAACTGCTTCAGAAAGTGGCAAGAATTATGGGATAAGTGTGTTTGAAGCGAGGGGGAGTATTTTGAGGGGGATTAATGGCAATGTGTCTTTTACTGTAATAAAATTTTTTTAATTTAAATATTCACTGTATTGTTTGATCACATCTTGTACATTTTAGATGAAAGAAATGCTGCTGCATTGGAAATTCCTCAGCACCACCTTCTACTAGAACAGTGGTTCTCAACCTTCCTAATGCCGCAACCCTTAATACAGTTCCTTATGTTGTGGTGACCCTCAACCATAAAATTATTTTCGTTGCTACTCTATAACTGTAATTTTGCTACTGTTATGAATCGTAATGTAAATATCCTTTTGTTTTCCAATGGTCTTAGGCGACCCCTGTGAAAGGGTCATTCAACCTTCAAAAGGGTTGCAACCCACAGGTTGAAAACCGCTGTACTAGAAAGATCCCTCTGAATACAGGGCCTGCTTTCCCTAGTAAAGGGGTCAGCAAACTGCGGCTCATGGGCCACATGCGCTCTTTGGGTATGGTCTGTCTCAAAAGTTTGCCGACCCCTGGAAGAGCCAATCCTGTCCCTTACAACAATTTAAAATTATTTGAGAACCATAAATATACTTTTACGTAATCATCATTATGTGAATAATATCCTTTAAAAGTTTTATAAGTGAAACTATGATAGTTTTATTTTCATTTTCAATTTTACTTCAGAGCCTGTGGCTTCCGAGCCACAGTTTGCTGATCCCTGGCGGCTCTTCTGTCTCAAAATTTTGCTGACCCCCGCTCTAGCATTACTGCAAAACAACTTCTCTAGCTTCAGTAAGCCCTATTTAATAAGTAAAACTTATTTGTATGAAAGTAAATGGTAGATATTTTTCTATCATGTCTCCCTTAGATACAGCTAGGGTACAGAATTTGTTTTCATATATTCTCTTAGATTTGAAATAGATTTGGAAATATTTATCTATATTATGCTTCATATTTTAAACAACTTTTCCTTCTGTTCTCCCCTCCCCCATCCCCAACTGCCTTTATCAAATTCTCCCAATTTGCACTTTTTCTAAAAGCTGCAAGTAAAGTCTGAGTATGTCTGCGTTCATGAGTAAGCATGTGAACATCTGTGTGTAGAGAGAGACTCTCAGCAGGAGGAAGGTGTTGGTGTCTGATAATATGGTGGGAGTCTTCCATTACCAGAGAGACAATCCATATGGCCCTGGTACTATGTGGATAGAACGTCTGAGGTAAAGTTCTCCTCTTTTATTTATCTGTTCAGTCCCTGCCCCTTTTCACACCTATACATCAACATCACCCTTCCTGTGATCTGAGATATCACACTTCCCTGAAACTCTGCTTTCCTTTTCTGTTAATCCCAGTGTATCTGTCTGGTTGGCTGCTTCATATATAAATCCTAACTTTTGCTTCTCCACCACTGTCTCCAAATCTGCTCAACTTGTATCCATCTTTTCCCTATACTGCAAGGCGATCTTGCTACTTTTTTTAATCAGATACTTCTGGAATACTTTGATCATCCTGTTTCTTACCAGTTTCTCTTGTTACATTTACCTTTTTCATATTTTTTGTCAGATGGTGAAACCTGGACTGAGGAGCAATTAATTATAAAACAGAAAACTCTTGAAGTAGGGATACAACTACATGAAGGAGATGAATGTGAACAAAACAAACATGAGGGAGCCTTTGAATATGGATGAAACTTCAGTAATATGGCAAACTTTATCCGACAACCACAAATTCTTACTGATGAGAAACCTCAAATGTGTAATATTTGTGGAAAATTATTTAGGCAGAGCTCCTACCTTATTCAGCATGAAAAAATCCAGTACACGGGCCGGCCGAGTGGCGCAATGGTTAAGAACTGGCTTGGGACACCAGAGGGCCCCGGTTCGGATGCCACATATGAGGGCCAGTGACACTGCCCTCTACAGCTAAGATGCTGAACAACAGCTCGACCTGGGCTGCTGTGAGTCGCTGGCTACGGCGTAGGCTGCAGCCCCTGCTGCAGTGGGTTGCCATGGGCTACCGTGTGTAG